TAGATTACGGCTTCACGTTGAGTGCCCAAACCGGTTCGCCAAAAATTCTGCCCCGTCAAATTTAGCGGGGAAAGCGCTCATAGCCTACATGTGAGGAGACGGGGTGTGCCCATAAAAAAAATTAGGCGCCCGATGCATTGTGGAAGCGACTCATTTACCTTGTTCCCATGCCTGTCGAAAGTCAGCTCTCACCCCCGGAAAAAATTGGGACTCTCCTTTCCTATATGATGTTCTGACACTGAGGAAGTGAAATGAAGACGAATTCTGGGGTTTGATAATTTTGTGCCCAAAAAGATGACAGGTATCGATAATAGTGCAAAAAAACCCGACGATCTCACCTTCTCCCTTGGGTGTGGGCCTCGTGACTCACGGGGGGTTGTTCTCAATGCAAGAGAAAAAATTTTTTTCGGTGGCCGGGCCCTGACTTAGTAATGATGATGTGGGACGTGGTTGTGTTTTTTTGGCTGACGCATTCGAGTAGTGATAGTGGGGAAATCATACCCCAGTGGCGTCGGTTTTTCCCCGCCGCATGCGTTGGGTAGTGTCCCCTGGGGACGCCCAGGGGGGAGTACACCCGGGTACACCCCTGGCCTCACAGTTTTAGGTATGATAGTGGGTGATGTGGTACATTTGGGCATGGATGCCCACAGGATCAGTGGATGGTGTTAGGGTGATGGTAGGGGACCCCCCATGCTGACCCCACCCCGGGTGGGACCACGCTGCTGACTCGTCATTAAGGACAAAGCGGAGCGCCCCAACCACCCCCAAAACCCAAAACCAGCCTTGTGTCCGTATCCCCCAGCAAACCTTTTAGGGTTGGCAGCAAAATCCCATTTTGTTCCCACCCTCCCACTTTGTAACCTCGAAGGGAATTTACCTTTGCCCCCTTGGAACACGGCCAATGAAGGGAATTCTTTGAATTTTCTTTGACCACCATTGATGGAAACTATTGTCAGGGAAAGAAATAAGTATTTGAGTACACCTGGCAAATAGTCTATCCCCACAGTAAAGACTACACAGGGGGGAAAGAGACGATTTTGCGAAATTTTTGTTTTTTTTGCAACAATAATGTTAGCCCAGTCTAAAGAAAATATAAAGCTATGGTCCCCGGGATGGCTAATTTTCCCCCGGTTTAGTGAAATCATACAGTGAAAGGTTTTTATTTACTATGTTGCACTTCTCTGAAAAACCGGGCCTGAAGAAGTGAAGGTTATACAAGTTAGAAATTTTTTATGTATCTCAAAAAAAAGGGTTCGCATATATTTTACCCTTTTCAAGATTTGAAATTGCGATTTTGATTTTGTTCCCAAAGGTGTTTGTCATTCAAGCGTAATCCGAGAAGAGGAAAGCTTTGGTATAAACTGTTTGTTCTGTGATGTGCAGTGGCTGGTGTTGGATTTTGTTGATACAGGGTGAAAAAAATTGAAATTTTCAAGATGTTATTGGGTATTAGGGACGTAGTGAGAAAATGGGGGCCCTTATTTGGGTTTAAGGGGAAATTTATATACTGAAAATGGTACACAACCCCATTACTCAGTGTTTTTCAAAGTAAAACAAGACGATGTGGTGGCACAGTGCGTTCTAATCGTAAAATATGCCGGTCAAGCAGGGCTGTGGTGATGACGGCAGGTTTTTTACTCCCAATACATCATGGCATTACGGTGGCTGAAAAACGAGTGTAATTGTTGAAAACCCTTTTCACCGTAATGAAATGAAGACAGTGAAAATTTTGATCGAGTGACAAAAGAAGTATTCAAAAACCATGACAGTGATTGATTATACACAAAACTGGTTTGGGTTTGACAAATGTGAATGGATTGGTTTTGTTGCTGTTTCGAAAGAGTTACAAGTGGTACTAAAATTTTTCTTCCATTCGGGAAATTTTCAATGTCAATGATATAATTTTGTCCCAAAAAAAGTGGAAACAGACCCCCGTTGGTGAATTTTGTTTGTCTTTTGTCAGACAATCAAAATGAAGTACAGTAAGAACACTGCATAAACAAGGGCCCCGAATTTCTCAGGATATACCCAGGTTTTTAGGAGGGAAGGTGATATTTTAAACAAATTCCCTTCAATCGAAAAAATTTGCTCAGAAGAGATGCATGTCTGTGCACAAACAAAAACCCGGGAACAAAGACGCAAAAAACATGGTTTTTTGTGTGGGAAAGTAAAGGGGCCCCTGTGCATGGTGCCCTTTTTTCAAAGGGGTTCCACAAGCTCCAGCGTTTAAAACCAGCCAGTGTTTTAAAATATGAAAATATTTAAAAAAATTATATTTAAAAATTTTATTTTTTAATAAAAAAATTTAAAAATAAATAATAAATTTTATTTATTATTAAAATATTTTTTTTTAAAAAAAAAATTTTTAAAATTTTTTAAAATATAAAAATAAAAAAATTAAAAAAAAAAAAAAATATAAAACCGCAAAAAATTGAATGGGTTGTGAATTTTTTTTTTTTTCAGTTTTGGAAACATTTTTTAAAATTTTGGCTGTTTGGTTAATACTGTCAATTTTTTTTTTTTCCCTTATTACTTAAAAAAAAATTTTTTAAAAAATTTTAAGAATTTTTTTTTTTTTTTTTTTTTTTTTTTTTAAAAAAATTTTTGGAATGACCCTTTGATTTTTTTTGCCCAATTCCTTTGCTCCAAGTTTTGAATTTTTTTTTTTTTTTTTTCCAAAAAATTTGGAAAAAAAAAATTTTTTTCTTGAAATGGGTGGGAACTTTTTCCCTTTGGAAAACCAAAAGTCGAAATTTTTGGGAAAAAAACTCAGGAAAATTAGCTTTCGAGTTAGGGGGCTTGGCACTAATTATCGGGGGATTGCCCGCTTTTAGCCTTTTTTGCCAATTCCCCTTTTCTTGACCAATCTTGTATTTCTTTTAGCTATTTTTTTATCTTGGGGTACAAAAAACAGCCCTTTACGATTTGAACTACCCCAAAAAAATGGTCAGAAAATTTGGGAATTTGACCAAACGATATTAAAAAAGTTTTCCAGTTTCAAAAAAGGGCCCGAATAAACAAGTAGAATTTTTGGGACTAAAATACGTATTGTGTTTTAGCATGTCTCGAGGCCCCTTTTATTACTATTGCTTTCTATTTTTAGTTTTTATTTTATCAAAAAAATACAAAATTTTTGTTATGCAGACTTCTGCATTTTTTTAAAATGGTATAAATAAAATCATGCACTGTGAAAAAAATATTAGAAAACCCGTTGAGTGTTTGGGGTGGGGGATTGTTTCCCGAACATTGGTAAAAATCAAAAAATCTCCCCTAACTTTGAGCTCAATTTCAAGGTCATTTTATCGTGAAAAACTAAACAAAATATCTCTTTTCATAATTGTTTTTTATTTTATCTGTGAGACCCTGAAAATGAGAAAACGCGACAAATCTATACGAAAATACAAAACAAAATCGGTTTTTTTTAATCCAAAAAAAAGGTATTGTTTTTTTTCCCTTTTTATGCACCGTGTCGCGGATTTTTTTTTTTTTGGGCACATGACCCCAAGCGGTTTCTCCATGTGGGCATCCAGCTTTCCCTGCTTGATTTGAAGCGCTAGAATTTTTTCGTTTAATACTCCGAAACCTGGTGTAAGTGTATATATAAAACCAAAAAAGTCAAAAGGGGTTTAAAGTACACAAAAAAGAAAAAATTGGGCATAAAAAAATGGAGTTAAAACTAGCAAATTAGCCCCCCTTGCAGATTTTGTGTGGTTTTTATGATTGTATTTCGTTTTGGGTTTATTTTATAGAAAGGGAAGATATATTACAGAAATAGATATGATTTGAATGGTTTCATGTGAGGTACCTTGAAAAAAGAGTCAAAGTAGCAGAAATTTATTTTTGGCATTTCAAGAGTAAAAAAAATGAGTCCCTCCATTCCAATATGCAGTAAATGGATTGACATTTTTTTTAAATTTTACAATAATGCAGTATCTGATAACAGTAATCTTCTATTTTTTGTGTGAATAAAAATTCCCCAAATTTTTTATTTTGTAATAATAATAATTATAATAGAGGCTTCAAAAGGCTGTCGCTGATGGGAGGTTACCCCAACAAGCTGAAACAGTTATGGGGCCCCCTCCCCTTGTCAAAATGACATTTTTATTGTTCTAGATAATATCGGTTTCTATTTCATTATATTTTTTATTTTGTCATGTAGATGGAAATTTTGTAGTAAAAAGCCGTAGGGTTGATATTAGGGAAATTATTGAAGTATTTTATGGTGCCTGGAATTCCACTGGAATGAATGAATTCCATTTCAATTAATTTAAATGAGGAAAATTGACTCTGCAAACAAGCAAATCCAGATGCGAGCAAGGTCACGGAACAGATTAAACTCGTTAGTGGAGGTTCCACTGTATTTTGGTGCATATGGTAGTTTTAAAAATTCTCATCACAATTCTTGCTGTCATTATCTTTGCTGATATTTAAGGGGAACATCTAATATCAGATATATTTTCTGCATACCCATTAAGTGAAATAATCCTTTCTGAAAAGGACGTAATTTTTAAATTGTATCACTGTTAAATTAACGCTTAAATATTTAATATATGATTTCTGAGGGTAATGTTTAGTGTTTAGGTATAGTTTATTGCTCAAATTACACCCAATACTTCACATTATATTGCTAGATTATTAATCCTTAGGGATACTACTGATTTTTATGACCCTTTTGAGTTTAGCCCTTAATATGATAGTCATTATTATTATTATTATTATTATTACTTATTTTTATAGTTGATATTTTCTTTTAGTATTAAGTTACAATAAATCAGTGCAGTGATACATGCTTTTATTATTGATTTTTCACTTCAGAAGATGCAATATCCATAATTCACATTTTTGTGGTGCTGTATATAGCTTTGTTCTTTGTCAGTTACTTTAAAGACAAAATGTAATTGTTTCATAGTTCATAATCGGTTACAGTAAATGTAATATAAAAACTTTATTATTATTATTTAGTTTTTCTAGTGTTGTAATATTAAGTTTTCTTTCTTCAGGAATGTCACAGAATGCATCTCCTAGTCATACTCACTACTAACAGGGAACCTTCAGCTTCAGCAGGGTAAAGTGCAAGCTGGCAGAGGCTCTCAATCTTTTAAGGTGTCATACTCTCTTTAAGATCCTTCCAGCTCTTGTATAGGAAGGTTAAAGTTAATGTTGATGGTGTTACATCTTTATTGGAAGATTGATTTTATTTACAATGTCTGAAGATCTCAAGATTAGAGTTGAATTAGAAAAGATCAACATTAATTAATTTACATAAATTATGCTTCTTATTTTTTTTTTTTTTATTGTAGTAAAATCTTGCTGTTTAGCACATTGTGCACCGTAAGGTGTGTGATTATTGTTATGGTAGATTACATGGGGATTTCCATTGTTTCATAGGTGCAGTGAAGAGAAAAGTATGAATATATTGACCTCTATTCCTTCCATAAACTTGCTCTTAAATGGTCTTGACAGTGCTGCTCTGGCAACTCTCATTTCTTTTACCTCCTTACAGAGATTCTCCAGTACCTATTAGTGTGGCCCTATAGGTATTTGTTATACGCTCTTAATGGCATTTAGTTTTAGGAATTGTACTATACTCACTCACTATCCACAGGTTGTGCACTCTAATACCTGTGGCTACTTTCTCATATCCAGGAGTATTTCAAGGTATTATGGTATCAGGAAGCCAGGCACCTGAAGTCATTAGGTCAGGGTGAGCTTTATGCCATTTCCTGTGCGACTGGCCCACGTTGTGCAACTTTTCTTAGGACCTGCAAATCACATGTTAAAACTTGTATTATGGCTTCTTGACTATTATGCCTGAGTACAGAGACCATGGGAAGCCCAAATTGCATCCTTGTTTTTCCCAGTCAGATAGTGGTGTGGTATCTTCAGGTTTATGATCTGCAAGTCTTATGGATTGTGAGAGAGTACATTGCTCTATTCCTCTGAAAAATAATAAAAAAAAAAGTTGCAATACAGTGAGGACTGGAATGCTTCACCAAAAACTCTCACTTAGAAGAGGAACCTCAAAGGAACCTTAAGGTTCCTCTTTAGTGTGGATTTATGGTAAACACACTTCCTCTGAGCTAATGTTAATACATCAAACTAGGGGTCATATGTTTTGCTAAAGACACTAATATGTGTTTACATTATCTACCTGTATAATTTATTCACTTGTGCTAAATAGCAAGTCATTAATTGTATTTTTTGTTAATTAAGCTGTAGTCAGTGTGATAGTTTTATTTATATATGATATTTTTTTAGGGTTTCCATAAAAGTTTTAAGATTTTAAATTAAAGTGTCAGTGAAGAAAAAGATATTTTACCAACATTCCACAAGTGTTGGTGCTGTCATGTGGTGTCAGTGCCTGTAAACACAACTTTCAATCAACCTTTGGTATTCAGTTTGCTAAGGTAATTTTATTATTATATATTTACCAAGTTGCACGTAAGAACAGATAGCATCAGGGGTGCACTTGTATTTCATATTATAAGGAAAATCTTGCATTTTTCCAGTTCTTTTAAAAATGGAAAGACTAATATACAGAGTTTTGCATTATTCGTAGTGTATTTTACTTAGTATATATTAGTAGCATACTTAATTCAAATTGAAGTGCCAATTTATTTTCCATTTTATTTTTTTATATTGAGAATTCTTTCTTGCATTTGATATACTGTACTAACATTCATTAAAATATTAATGTTGTATGTATGCTATTTTTTCTGGTACTATTTATTCATACAAAGATTTGCACGAGTGCCTGAGGTTGCATCAGCTCCTGTTAGCAGCTGTGATTTAATTGCAGACTGTTAGGTTATTTTCTTATCCGTTGTATTAAGCAGTGATATATTTTTACTTTTATTTTTTATGGAAGTTTGGATCGTGTGGAGATGGTTGTATATTAGCTTTTTATTAACTTATATTCAGGTATTGTAAATGTTGAGGACTATTAATAAGGAGTCTGTTTTAAAGATGAATAAGTAAGGCATTTTCTTGCATTTTTATTTAAAAAATGCAGTGATATTTATATTCAAGATTATGAAATGGCATCAGAATGCCCGAAGGTTGAAAGTTAATGCAAAAACAAAATTGACATAAAAATATGGCTTGTATACACAAAATACTCTAATTTTCTGTCATTATTTTAAATAATTAACATTTTTGCCTAAGCTGATGTTACTTAATTTGTGTTTGTTTTGTACATGATCTATATGTTCATATACAAAATATTGGTACATTGTGAAGATGTCCATCTTAATTGGTTAGGTGGAAGATAAAGGATTTTGGTGTTAGTGAACATAATGCCCATGTTGGCATACTCAACTCTGTAATAAGTTAAATTGTCTACTGATTAGTAGATCCTAATCTATTGCAACTTTCTCATTAGATATACATTGTATGTACATCTAGAGATGAGATACTTGGCTGCTAGAAAAATCCCATATATCCTACTAGAAAATTTTAGAAAAATGTTTTGTTTATAATATATAGAATCCTTTCTTCAGATCATTGTTATTTAAAATTGTTATGGATGGGGAGGTGCAGTTGAGGAAATATGAATTGCCCGTTGTCAGTCAAGTCTGGACATGACTAGTTATGGATGAAGTCTGCAATGTTGTCCATATAAGTTTTCATCAATGATTGTAGACTTCTAATATACAGATGGCATTTGGGAATAATAATGATGAATGTATGACAATTTTTACCAAACACTATCAACTTGGGTTGAACCTGTTTTGGGTTCCACAATTAAATTGTTAATGGTTGAACCACAGATGATTGTTTTGGGAGAAATTTGTATCTAATTCACTGTTTCTCTTATATTTTCAAAATCTATCTAAATCTCTTCAAGGCTACAATTTCCTGTCATTTTCTTTTTCCACAGCAATAGGCATTCTTTATGAATTGTCTACCCCTTACCCCCCTCACACACAACACACAACACACACCACACACACACACACACAAAACACACCACACACAAAACACACCACACACAAAACACACCACACACAAAACACACACACACAAAACACACACACACAAAAAACACACACACAAAACACACACACACAAAACACACACACACACAAAACACACACACACAAAACACACACCACACACACACACACACACACACACACACACACACACCACACACCACCACGCAACACTCACCACACACACACACACACACACAACACACACACTCACACACACAAAACACACCACCCCACAAAACACACCACACACAAATACACACACAAAAATCCACACAAAAACACACCACACACAAACACACAAAACACTCACCACACATCACAAAACACTCACCACACACTCACCACACACATCACCACACACACACCACACACTCACCACACACACAACCACAACACCACACACACACACACACACACACAACACACCACACCACAACATACCACACACACAACACTCACCACACACACACACACTCACACACACACCACCCACACCACCACACAACACCACACACACACCACACACCCCACACACACCACACACACCACACACACCACACCCCACAACACACACCACACACACAACACACCACACCCCACAACACACCACACACACACCCAACCACACCCACACACACAACACACCCACACACACAACAACCACACACAAAACACAACACACACACACACAAACCCCACCACACACAAAACACCCCACACAAAACAACACACACCAAAACACCACAACACACACAACACACCACACACACACACAACACACACAACCACACCACACACACAACACACCAAAACACACACCACACACACCACACACAACACAACACACACACACACACAAACACCCCACCACACACACACACAACACACCACACACACAACCACCACCAACACAAAACCCCACCACACACACAACACACCACACACACACACACACCCACAACACACAACACACCACACACACAAAAACACCACACACACACACACACCAACACACCCCCACACACCACACCACACCACAACCACCACACACACAACCACACCAACAACACACACACCCACACACACACACCACACACAACCACACACACCACACACACACACACACACCACACCACACACCACACACCACACACCACCACACACACAACACACCAACACACACAACACACCAACACACCAACACACCAACACCCACACACACATACACACACACAACTACTATTCCCCCCAAAAACCTGCCAAAGGCTGTTCTCATGTTGATCTTTCTATATTTAATATTTTTTATTTTCTATTCATTTACATTTTTTTATTGCCTAATAGATTTTACATTACTAGTAGAAGGAATGCAATTAGAAACTTGGTTTTTGTATACGAGATAAAATGGTATCACTTGAGAACAGTCCTAGAGTGAAAATACAATTTTCATTTGCCCACACCTTTAGTGCATTATCAATCTGAGGCATTGTTGTGTGAGAGAGGAACACTACATTGATTAGTTCAGTTATAAATAGTATGAGTAACTTCTGCATTCCTGATATGAGTGTATTATTTATTCAGGGTTTAAGACATTCCTTGAACCCAGTTATGTTCAAAGCAGCATTGTGTCAAAATTTATAATTGTTTATGGAACATAAAATGGAAAATCTAGTTTAATTTTATATCCAGATTTGAGTTTGGGTGGTGGGCATTTTTCCTGACCAGGATTGTATATCTGTATCAGTGTGCGTCTTGTCCCTTTCAGTTTTCCTGCACATAATTCCTGTGAAGTAGTGGAAAATTAAAAAAAAAAAAATTTGTTTACATTCGAGTGATTCTCAGTTGATTATAGTTACCAGTAGGACTATTAGTTACAAATGGAAATGTACTGTATCTTTCAGGGATACTAAGTTCATTGTTCCTGCAGTTCCTATTTATCCATCCTGTAAATTGTTACAGCTTAACATGAACTCGGTTTCTCTAGGTTTCCTTTATTTATTACTCTGGATTTTTATTTATTGTTCCTCATGTAGTATATAAATTATATATTTGAATTTGATCTCAAATTTAGTTTTCATCTTTCCACTATGTATGCACCTTGTATTGTGTCATCTGAGGATGCTGGAGCAGGGCATTACCGTTTCTTGGATGAAAATTTAAATTTATTGTAATGAAGTTTGTTTTAAAATATTGTAAGAGATCTCTGGGTTAATGTATTTCATTATGATTTGAACTAATCTTTGTGTGTGGGATACGATACTGAAGTACTGTATAACCCTAATACTGTATTTATATACTGCAGTGTTATTAGGCATCTTGACATGGAGCTGTTGTAAAATAGCAACTTTGTTCTTAGTATTGTCCTGCTCATTCTCCCTCACTTTGTGTCTTAATAATTACTGGAAAACTGAGGTGTCGTCAATCTGTAGGTCGTGTAAATATGATAGTTACTGTTGGTTATGATACCTATTATGCATGTACTGAAAATGTAGAGAATATAAAAGTCCCGTCATTTAATTTTTTTATTTTTTTGCTTTTCTCTTTACCTTTTTAAACATGGATTTCTCAATAGTATATAATCAGACTAAGCACTAAACCCAGAAGGGTCATACAGCATTGCAGGGTGGTATGTGCTAGAGGATGAATATGCAGAGTTTAGGAATGAGTAAGGGTCAGGAGTGTGCAAGGGTAAGGTTTAGTGGGTGTGGTGAAGAGTGCAAAAGGTGAAATAAAGTTGGTACAATAAGTTAAGTGTTTGTTGAAAAAAAATAAATAAATGTTCATCAAAGGTGGGACTTACAGCAAGGAGGTAAGTATGGTGGAGAAGTCAGAGGTGAATTCTGGAAGCCTGCTAATACAGGACAATTCAAGATATAGTGAACTGGCAATGCAGTTTTGTTTAGCATTTGTCCCTGGGTATGAGAAGTGCACTTGTGACCGATACATGGTGAGAGGGCGGTTTCCTAAGCAGCAGCAGTGAGATGGCCAGAAACTAATGTGGTCTGACATAGTAATTTGCACTTCAGTGTGGACCACTTGTTGCCAGCAGTTGCAGTGTTTTTTGAGAGATGACAGAATAATAGCCTGAAAAAGGAAGATCCTTGTACAAAATTAGGTCATGAACAGCAGAGTCTCTGTTCATTACCCCAAACGTCAGTGTGTTCAGAGACCCAGCAGACTCCTGTTTACTAGAAATGAGGCATATATAGGGCAGTAGGATGAGGGGAATAAAATTTTTGAATAGCCTGTAATGCACTATAGGAATCTGAAATGACTACAAATACAGACATTGATGCAATGTGTATAATGGCCATGAAAACTGCTTACAATTCAGGCATGGGAATGCTGGCTGATTTTAATAAATTATATAAATGATTTTGCCAGGAGACCTCTTCAAGGGGGGCTCCTTGGTGTGGTGAAGAGGCTCTTGGTCTGAGGAATTAGACCTGTCAGTCTCCTTCCTCAGACCGAACCTAATTACCCCCAATCTCCCGTTCCCTATCCCATCCTCCCCTTTTTCCTTTCCTCCTCCTCCTCCCCACCCCTCCCTTTTGCCCTTTGGGATTTTTTTTTTTTTTCCACAGGCACGCTAGTTCCTAGGTAGGGAAAGGGTACCGGGGTCCATCCCATTCCGTTGAGGTTCTTGGTGGTGGCGTAGTTTGCCGTGGAATCTGGATTGCCTGGGGATGTCCCGATCCCTCTCCAGTATCCCGGAGGGTGGCTTTGGGTGTCTCTCGGGCGACGGGTGTATCTCTGGAAGCCACCTTTCGGACTCCGGGGGTGGTGGCCGAAGGAGGTATGCTTTGAGGCGGATTTCCGGCCGCCCTCTCTTTTGTCCACCGAGGTAGCTCGGCAGATGTGAGGTTGCTATCCCGGATTGCCGGTTTACTTGCATGATGGGTAGGGTATGGCACGGGTTCCATGCTGCATCTGCGCTGCTTGCAGTGCTGAGGTTCTCTTGGGCGCAGAGGGAGATTTCTGGCCCTTTCATTCCTCCTAGGAACTATCCCTCCCCGGTCCCCCCTTTTTTATTCTTTTATTTTTATTTTATTTTCTTTCTTTTTTTTTTTCTTAAAAACAAAAAGAAAGAAGTAACCTAACCATGGCAGCCCTAGTCCATGAACCTGCTACTTACGACCGACTTCCTCTACTGCCTATCTTTCTGACCACAGTATTGGCAAGGCACTCCTATGCCATGTTGGTAAAGATATTTCTTTTCATGCTCTTAAGAGCGGTACGCGCATCATCACCGTACAGAATGCTACCCAGGCTCATGAGCTTTCTCGTCTTTCCCATATCGATACTGTTCCTGTCACTATTGAAAAACATCATTCCCTCAATTCTTGTAGTGGTACTGTCATTCTGCCCCATACCATAGTTCAACAAAATTTCCAGACATGTGGCATTGACATTCTTGAACAGCTGGAACTCCAAGATCTCCCAATC